AGACAGACAGACAGACAGAGCAGGGAAAACCCCAAGTTTATATTAAACTAACTGTATGCAGTGTAACGCTATTAACAGATCAAATTAGTGACTCGTTCACCTCACTTTTCAGTTTTTCTAATATGGCTGTAACGTGTAGTGGTTTTATATCCACGTTAACAGTTTAATGCGTCCAATCAGATTTAATTCCTTGAATAAAGTCAGCTGAGCCAGGATTGACTCTTAAATGATAAAATGCTTCTGGCTGATGGAGCCGACTACAGATTCACAGTAGCTCTTTGTGTTCGTTTTATTGACAGATGTTGGTCAATCACATTTCTCAGGTGATCATTTCTTTCTTTGCATATTAAACTAGGTTATGGTGAGTACACACTTTAAAAGCACAAGAACAAACCTGTTTACATGTTAAAACCAACATGTACTCAGTAATCTTGTGATTTTTAGGACCTACATACCAGAAATGATACACGTGACGAGGGATTGCAGGGAATATGGGTAGACGAACAGAAAGTGTCTACAAGCAGTACTTCAGGAGTAAATAACAAACAAGTGCTGTTTCTGGCACAAGATCTCTGTGAACTGTGATGAACTGATTCAGACTTGCCTGGCTGGCCTTGGCGTTAACGTTGCCCTGACCGAAGAGCTTCTTGACCACAGCCATGTCATCCTCCTCCTTCACAGTAGAGAGAGCAGCCAGCATGATGGCCGTGTAGCCCGCCTTGTTCTGCTTATCCACACTGCACACACCTGTAGGAAGCAGTTTTCATTACTGTGTATTTAAGCATATGCACAAGTGCACCGATAATGTTTTCCACCCCGGCCGTTCTGTCTGCGTAAGTGTCCGTTTGGGGGTGTATTCAGGCCTTAATGCAACAGTCCTGCAATAACCTTCCAGGAGGTTATGTTTCATTTTTGTTGAAACTGTTTTACAATCTCTAAATGCTTTGCTCAATTGAGAGTGAAGACTTTCTCCTAACTTTTGTTAAAACCTCTCCGTGTTACAAAGTTATTTGCTATATCTCCGGTTTGAATGAGGCGAAGAACATTGTTTCAGGTAAGGCATGTCCTTGAAGTTGATGTCACCCCTTTAAGCAACTACTTTAGATTTAGAAATCTCGACGCTGTGATCTCAGATCGTCTTGTATCGTTAACGTCAACCATGTTGTATTATTTTTTATTTAACATAGTATTTCTATCACAATTATATTTAGCTATTTGAGCTGGACCCTTCCAAACTAATTGTTTGGATTACTAAGTGAATTATCGTTTTAGCCTGTACGGCAACATTCAGTAGTGTAGTGTTGGTTATTCTCAGACGGTCACTGACCTGTGTCCAGCAACAGCCCCACCACACCGAAGTTAGAGTGGGAGACACTGTAGTGGAGAGCCGTGTTGCCGTTGCCGTCGGTCATGTTGACTACGTGTTCCAGTAGCACTGATGACACCTCAGAGAACGCCATCAGGTAGTCCGAGACCCGTGAAGGCTGAGCCATCTTGGCACTAGAGATACGGAACCACTCGAGCTGGACCGTGTGGGTGCTGGAGAGCTGAAGGTGAGGGTGGGAAGCCATAAATTATCTACAAGTATTGTAAATGAGTGAGTAAAACAGCATCTGAAGCATATCTATCTCAGCATTAGATCATAATAAAGTTGTATTTTACTAGTGGTAGTTTCTCACGAAGTTAAAAACACTTGTATGGACAGTGTATTTTGGCAAAGTCAAACAGTATTAGTTTATAGCAGTCTGACATTCCATGTGAATGTCAAGGGAAGTCTGTAATAGCATCTGTTGTTGAACCCAACAATGATGCAGTTCCTGAGCCTTTTCTCAGTCTAGACTGTACTGTTATTGTTACATGACAACCCTATTGTTTGTGATTAATGTGCCAAAACTATCCCTAAACAATAAAATACAGTCCCACAGCTTTCAACATCTGTACGTAATTACAATTTTACATTACGTTAATAATGAAGTTACAAAGTTAAATGTTTAACTCAGTAAAATAAAAGTGTTTTAAAGAAGCATGCAGGGACGCACCACTTCCTTACTCTTCAGTGTCTTAATGTCATCGTTCAGGTGGTTCTTCAAGATAAGGCAGGCTTCACGCATTTTTGAGCTCAGCTCAAATCTGTAACAACAATGTGTGAAGTTGACACAAAACAATTTACTATTTTCTGTACTGTATTTCAATTGTATGTGGATTTTACAACGTGTGTTTATACAATGCATGTATATTTACACAAGACTTTCTCTTTGTCATGCAACATGCTTCATTCACAGCACAAGACTTTAATCAGGAAACTACATTAACACATCGTCTGTGGAGTCCAGAAACTGCATAAGTAAATAAATCAACTTGTGTTTAACTCGTACTAAGTAATGACTTACTTCTCTTTCACAGCATCAGATGAATAATTTGTGGCTCTCAGGGTTTCCTCATCAGTGTCACTCTCATCCAGGTTGACGTTTCTCTCCTCTTCAGATGTTTCTTCCTCCAGAGCCGCCTCATCCTCCTCTGTGCTGTCCAGGCACTCGCCTTCTCCACTTTCTGCAGAAGAACTCCCATCTTCCTCCTCCTCTTCGTCCTCCTCCTCTTCTTCTTCACTGGATGTAGATTCATACCTGGGAGACACAAATATTTGTTGGAATACGAAGCAACTTATGGAGTTCACATTTTAAGCACTAGGAAAAAGGCTTTTGTTTCTTACGTGTCAAATCTGTGACCTGCTCAAAGTGTTATTTCCAACCTGTCGTCCATCTGCCGACATTATTTTATTTTTACTGTGGTAAAAAATAAAATTAAGTGTTATGTTACCCACCCTCCATTTAGAATGCCAACGAACTGCAGGCTCTTCTTGCCGGTGGTGCGATTCTCGCCTGAGTTACTCCCATCCTTCCTCTTCATGATTGATTTCAGCATACCTTTTACCATCAAGGAAGCAGATGGGTGAAACAATAGTTCAAACAAAGTACACCTCACACATTTTGTAAACAAAATTATGTTTTATTATTATGTCATTTTTTAGTAAAAATATTTCCTATCTGAGTGGGTAAAGCTTTATTTTGGTATAATAATTCGCAAAATAATTCAGTATATAGGTGTCCACCAAAAAATGTTAAATAATATTTATTTAGTTTTAAATGATGCAGTTCTTTCAAACAGATTCCTCGTTTCTCTCTTTAAATTACTACCAGATTACATATTAGGTAGACTTTCACTTCTTTGAAATGATTCATAAATTATGAACTTGTGTATAGTTTCTCCATTCTTTCCCAAACATAAACCCCAGAGTGCACTTGCTAGTGATGTGTTATGTTCCACATTTGTTAAACCTACAATGAAGATGAACACTTAAAAGGTTCTCACCCGTCTTGGTGTTGCTGGGTGCAGTCTTCACTCCTTGTTCTTCCTCTTTCTTCTCTGCCATACTGACCACTTCTTCTGGTGAGACCTTGTAGTCAGCAATGGTCATTTGTCTCTTCTTTGGCACTTTCTGCTCCTCCATCTTTTCCTCAAACAAGATCTCCCATTGGCACCCAGTGCTGACCACTGCAACAGGAGCTGGTTCTGCCGTTTCCACTAAAGCATCAGTCTGGGTGCCTTGTTCAATCTGACCTGTTGTTAAACTCTCACCTACACATGCATCGCTGAACTCAGGACAGCAAAAGACTGCAGCATGCTTCAAAGCAGGAGTCAATGTCTCTACCTGGACCTCCATTGTGTCTGGTTTTGCAAGAACCCCCTTCTCGAATGTAACTTTGGAGGTTTTCTCCTCCACTTGGGCTTTAAGGCTCAGCAGGTCTTTGTCAGCCACACTGAGCCGGTCCTCTAGAGCCACAATGGACTCCTGTTGGAATTTAATGGTGTCCTGTAAGGTGTCGATCTCCCGCTGTGCCTCGCTCGTCAGCCCAAGTAGCGACTCCATAACCCAAACCTCAGCCTCTTCCGTCTCCACTATGGCCTGTATTCCCTCCTCATGAACCAGAGGCGACTCTGTTCCAGTGCCTTTCTCACAAACATTTACCCTGGTGTCCTCAGAAGCATCTTTCATACCCTGGCTGTAGTAGAAAACAACAGAGTCCATTGGCATGCTGTCCCCAACAGCCACGGATTTCTTTTCAACAACCACTTTTTCTGGAGCTTTTACTAAAACCTTTGATGAAGGTTCTGCAGCTTTCTCTTCCCTCCCTTCAAATTTCTCAGTCAGCCTTTTCAGCTCACCAGATTTTCCAAGGCCTTTATGTCCAGGCGAGGTTGGTGCAACCAATCGACTGTGGATCGTTTGAAGGGTCTCTGTGGTTTGGGTAGAAGACTCTGTGGATGGTTGCTTCTGCTGGTCCGTCTCCATGGCTACTTTCTTCTCCTGAAGGGCTAACAGGAGCATGTCTTTCTCTGCACGAAGCTTGGCCACTTCTTTCTCAAGTGCAGGGACACCCTTTACCCTCTCTTCCATCTCCTTCAGCTGTTTCAAGGCTGTAGCCATCTGCTCTCTAACTGTCTGCAGCTGGCTGGGTGGGATTGGAGTCATTGTGTTGCTAGCAGCTGGAGTGCTGAGCCCAGAGGTCTGAGGACTGGGTTTAGTCCAGCTAGTCTGCAGAGGCTGAGTAGATGGAGAGGGTAAGCGCTGTTTGGGAGGATCTGCAAGCTGGAAGCGCCCACCATTCTGGTGCTGGTGGGTTTGCTCCTGTTGTAGCCGCCGGCTAGTTTCTAGAAGAGTCCGCTCAACTCTGGGGTTGCGTTGCGGTGGAGGGGGCGGCACTTTGGCTCCAGCAGACAGCGGAGAAGCATTTAGGAGGGTCACGGGGGAAAGACAGAGCCCTTCACAGGGTGCTGACCCAAGGCGGTTGCGTGGTGGCGGTGGTGGAGGAGCTCTGCCATCCTCACTGGCCGGTGATGCCAGAGACTCTGTGGATGTCCAGCCACTGGTACGTCCCCCCACACTTGGACTCCTCTGGGAGAGTTTGACCCCTCGACCAGAGCGCCGGGAGCTGACCGGGGCTCGACGGAGATTGTGCCCACTTTCTATCTCTTCGACATATTTGAGGAAGTCCAGATCCAGCTGGAAACCATACGGAGTCTGGACAGAGTAGGAGCCAGGCTGGTCAGCCTCCTCCTGACTGGAGTAGATGAATGGAGAGCCCAGATCTGAAGAGAAAAGGACATGTAACTGGACAACTATATACTTAAAGATGGGAGAGTTTTTCACCAAAACAAAGTGTGCCTATACGTGAGGTCTAACAAACATGTTGATGTATTTATGATCTCAAAACTGTTGAAGTGCCTTTTTTTTTTTTTTTTTAATTGTTAACTTTATGTTGCCTTTGTTAGCACAACGCTGCGCTCCTTTTCTCTTTGCTACCAACTGTCAATTAGTGTAGTAGCGCTTCTATGTGCGTCCTTGAGTATGCACGATGGACAATACAAAAAAGACCTTAACACAACTAATGGCAACAAACTCCACAGGGTACCTTTAATTAATTCTGCATAAACAGAAACATCTTAAACGTACTACAAGGAGTTTTTAACTGGTTATGAAACAGTCAAAATATAATACTGATGCCTTTTATATGTCTCACATAAACAGAACATCAGCGAGAAGATATAATCTATATTGTTATTATCTGCCTGCCACCAGGTCAGATTCAGTCGGATTCCCCTTTGAAATCAATTAAACAAGGTAGTGGAAACACTACCACTTTTGTCCACAGGGGCCAGAATCAACAATAAATGATGTTATTTGTTAATCAAAATATCACTTTTACACAAAAAAAACAGCAATACAGTCAATACACCAAAAAGCTGCAACGTGTCATCATATTGGAGCTGGTCTAGGTGTCTGATCTGTAGCGTTTACAGTACAAGCAACATGAAGAGACAACAAACAATTTCAAATACATTTTGTTTCTTGTGGTTAACAGCATTGTGATACTATCTGAACCAGCTTAGTGTGGTGAACTCCACAAACCCACTACTGGCAGGTTGAAACTAAGTATTTGATTTATTACAACAATAACTAGAGTACACTGAGAGAACAGTGAGAGAAGCCTCAATAATTAAATTGTCAGTCAAGAGTGAGTGAGATGTGAGTCTTACCAGGAAGCTTTGGGTTTACTTGCACCGACTGAGTCATTTTTCAGGACTGGGACCTTTCAGCACACACGCAGCTTCAAATCAACACCTGGCTAAAGAAAACACACAGTGACATGAATGCATACATTATGACTGTACTAAAGGAAATAACAGGATGTAATTTCTGAAACACTCTACAGTAGTTTGGTAAAAACATTGACACAAGTCTTTCATTTGCTACCTACTGACTGACAAGTGTGTTGATTTTATATTAACTTTTCTGTAAGCATTAAAATCACATGCTCCAAATGTTTTCCATCCTATGAACATGTTTTTTGGGAGAGGAGACAGCAAAAAGATCAAAAAGAATACAACTTCTTGACAACCCACATGGCTCCCTGCTCTCACTTTAATGCCGAACGGCTTCTTTATAGGGGTTGTAAACTTGCTAGAAGGTGCGGAAATACCTGAAGAACTTTATGTTTTCTTATGGCTCGTTAGCACGTGTGACAGCCTGTGACTGAATTCAAAAAGGTGAATTCCTTTCTTTCAGCGATAAAGAGGTTTTGTTAAATGAGCCTCTTGTTTGCTTTTCCTCTGAAGAGGTTTGAAGGATGTTGAGACTGTCATCATCGTCAAAGAGAGAAGTGTGTGGGTGTTGTTGGCTGTTGTCGAAAATGTGCTGTGTGTGTGTGTGTGTGTACGCGTGTGGGTGCCTGTCTGTTTTCTACTTTCAAGCTAAAGCTGTGAGATCCATACAGTAGAACTTACATTTAATTATAAGTCACTAACAGTGCAAGATTCATGCCTTAGATTCAACAGTACATCTGTGTGTGAGCGTGCTCCTATATAACTTCTGACACAAAGAAGATTGCCGTCAGGGGAAACACCTCAGAACAAAGTCAACAACAAAGAGCTGAACAGTTTCCAAAAACCACAAGACAGCTGCTCCATTAACAACAGTAACACGCCATCCAACTCTACTGAAAAACCACAGGATTCCTCTCACCACAAGACCACTAAAGCCTGCCATACAAACTGCTTCACTGGGAAATCTATTGTTTCCTTTGGACATCATGTCTATTTATTCAGACACGGACAGAGACACTGCAAGGGGAGTGTATGGTCAGCCAAATGTGGAGCACCTTTGTAGCCGAATGGTTACAGTGCCTGCCAAATGGCTGCTTGGTCGCAACTGTTGCTGGATTGATTCCAGCCGGCCACCTCTGGTACATGTCATAGCCCTCTGTCTCTCCGGTTTCCTGTCTGCCTTTTCACCTTTGGAATCGAGTCATAAAAGTCTGACAGAGACTGAAGCTTTTTCTGTCATTCATCATCTTTAATAGTCGAAAATGATCTGTTCAAAATGTCTCGACAGAATAAACTTGAGGGCTTTTCTTTGTTCAGTCATTGTAGCTTTAGCTGCTCATATTAACAACCTGGTTCTTCTGTTTGTTTACTGCATAAACTGGATACTTGATGCTCTGGATAATTATAATTATTGTATATTATGTATAATAACAAGAAGGAAGCACTAACTTTAAAATGACAGATTCTAACTTCAGAACAGTACAATGAACGCTGTTGGTGTTGGGGAGGTTACCTCTCTCAGCCGCTCAGTTAGCGATTCATGCAGCTGGACGTCAGGCTGGTTCCCTCCTCCCTGCTGCACACAGCCCTGAGAAAGAGAGACATACAGGAGTAGACCATCAGAACCGTATTAATACTCAAAAACACATCATAGTGCAGTGACACATGGTTTACTATAGCACAAAGATACTGCAGCACGGCACATCAACAGTACCGTACAACATATTAACTTACAGACAAGCTACAAACACGATGAATGCAGATACTTCCATACAGGGGACACCAGTGCACTGAAGGGTTTAAAAATGAGACTCCTACGCTTTGGTGTTCAGTTACCAAACCTCAAACCAGCTGAACATTTGGGACTGATATGCAAACTGAATATGTTGTGTAAGAATCCCTCCAGTGGAGTTTCACACTCTTTACAAAACACTGAAGCTGTTCTGGAGGCTTGTTGAGATCCTACACCTTCTGGTGATCTGCATATATTTGTCACAATTTGTCATCTACCTGCAGACACCAACAGAGTGAATCTGGGAGGCTTTTGTTACTTCACATCAATCAAAGGCAACTTGTTCCATTCAGAATTAAGTTTGGTGGCGTAGGGCTCAACGTTTTGCTCGGGGGACTGTTATGATTGGTCAAATCTGTAGAAAAGTTACAGTTATTGGACAACATTTCAAGGTTGCGCCAAACGGGGGTTTCACAGGGTTGAACTGATTAAATTTCCGTTTGTTTTTTCGATCGTGACATTGCAACTTCCTGTAGGAACTAATTAGATGAAGAGAAACATTTGGAAGACCAGAGAAGAAGTCACCTTAGAGAAGCCAAGATGTTCCCATTGGAGGGTGTAAATATGAACGAGCCTTAACGCTGGATAACACCACAAACCTCACCATCACAGGTGTGTGTTTACAAAGAAAATTATAGGCTGTCTTATTGCTCTCTACGTACGTGGGTTTGTGTGTGTTTTGGAAATATGACATAAAAATATTTTTAGTGCAAATCTCAGTTTCTTCTTAGAAACAAAGAGAAAAGAGCAACACAAAACTACAGATACACTGTTTAATATGAAATATGAAAATACAGTAACTTGTACCCCCCACACACACGCGCGCAGTTGTTCAATTAGTTTCAAACATACACACTCTTGTAGCAGCACACACACACAGATGTGTTTTCCAGCAGCCTCGGGCACATTCCTAACACATGCTGTTGCAACACGCAGGTCGTCCTTCTAGCTGACTGACTACTGATAACCTATAAACACACACATCATCTGTCAGCTCAGACAGTAAAGACCACAACATTCAGACAGACAGAATTAAATGATATCAGGGGTCATTATGGACAATGGAGTCATTACAATACGAAAAAAAAAAGAAAGAATCTTCTGTAACTGATAACGACGCTTCTGCTCAGTGTCTTCTCATCAGCCACAGCTCTGTTTCTCCTCAGTGTTACTGTCAGTTTCCACTATCAGGTCGAATCGCAGTAAACATGATGCTGCTGTCCAAACCAAACACACACACACACACACACACAGACAAACAAACAGACACACACACACACACACACACACACTTTTCAGAGATGTGACCTCACCTCGTTGGTTTACTTTGGTCCAAACCCGAGAGAGGTAGTTTACTGTACTTTGAGTTTTCGTACTGGGTTTGTTTAGGATCCAATACGAGCTAACCAGAGCTTATAAACAAGTCACATGACTCAAAAGGTTTGTTTATTGGGCAATTTTAGCAACATGTAATCCTGCCTGGTTGGAATTAGAGAAAGATTTTGAAGTTGAAACATATCTGGCTTCAGTTTATGCAACTTCAGTTCAGTGTCTGCAATGGGTAGGTTGGATTACGCTGCTATTTCTGTAAAGTACAGCTAATTTTAATGGTACCTTATCCAAATTAACTTGTATTAAGCAGGCTTAGTACAGTTCCAGTGGAGCTGCGATATGTTTTGTATCGATGACAACAAAGTATGTGTCTTAAAGCTCAAAACAAAGAGCAGAGTTTCGATGTGACGTCATCGTAACTGGCGCTCAGAAACACTGTGTGCAGGCACTACGTCATTTATATTTTGACAGCAACACTAAATTTAACATTATAAAGAAAGCCAAACAGACGTGATGATGACGACATGCTGCGGATATTCAGAGCTAATAACTCGTACGCAGTCAGATGAGAAAAGCCGACGGTTTGGGAACAATCATACTTGGACACAACTGACTTCTCTGCTTCAAACATGTTGTTATAAGATCAATAAATATATAGTTCCTCCTCTACCAAGCAGACTAAAGTAAAAACATTAGATAAACCAATGATAGAATCTGAATAAAAAGTCCAGTTGAAGTTTTAGGACTTTTCTACTGCAGGAAATTAACAGTCGTCACAGGTTCTGCTTCAGTTTCCAGTTTCTTTTTTGGAACTTTGTTATTGATCATGAGCTAATTCGAAACCGATAATCTGACAGAACAACACAGTGGAAACGAGGCAGAACAAAAGGACGAAAAACGTACAGGTCCTTAAAAAGGTTCAGGTGTTGGGGAGCTCCATGTTGACTAAGGGACAGATCAGATGTTAAATACATTATTTTGAACGGAGATGTGCAATGGACGGCGCTCAGAAGCGAAACCGTTCGTTACAATGTGCCTGTTTTTTATTTTTATTGTTGGTTTAACAGAAATAGACTGATGACATTATTCTCATGAGGCAGAATCATAAACTTTTCTTGTTTGAAGACAATTATCCACTTCAGTTCGTCTCCCTCAGGAGCAAAGAAATCAGAAACCACACCGTAAACTGCAGCGTTTTACTACCAACAACTT